AGAAGCTTGATTTTAGTCACCAGCGTTTCGCTTTCAAGAAAAATTCAGATGGTATTCGGAATTAGTTCGTCGGACTGCATTGAATCATATATATTTAGTAGCTTTTCAAGAAATTTTCGGTTCATTTTCAACGGTAACCCAGGCCCACAACCATGCTGTTCCATATATTCTACACGCTACACAAGAATAATGTCCGACCGAGCCTGAATTTTCACCAGATGTTCTTATATATTTATCCTATTCATGGTAGTAGCGAAAACACATAAACACTTTCCTACGCTATTTTACAGGATGCCCAAAAACTGGAGAACTCTGGTCGGAAATCAGGTTTCAGGCATCCGCCTTACACTTTGAAGAAAAACTAAGATGGTATTTGGAATCATCACTTTGAACTGCGTCGAATGATATCAAGCTCAAAACATCTTTCAAAACAAAAATTTCTGGAAAACATATGAGAAGAGATCTTCCACGTATATTTTGCAAAAAGCATTTTTTGTGGTAAAAAGCTTTTAATTCTCAGATGTGTTTTGTAAATGATATACGATTAGTTCTGATCAAAAGAAAACTGTTTCGGAGCACACAAGTCGCATACCAGAGTGCTTATACGAAAACTGTTTAATTTCCAAGGATCTCTCTTAGGTAGTTTTGGTAAAAAAAAAATATTTTTGAAAAAGCTTTTATATTCTTAAAAATGATGTTCTGACTGATATACAATCATTTCTGGGCAAATAAAAAACCGTTTTTGTGCGAAAAAGCCAGTTATCCGCCTGGTCATGCGAAAACCTCTGCTGTGTAGTAGTTTTGGTTTGGAAAAATCGAGTGTGTGTTCGATATAACTCGTTTGAGTTGTACTTTGGTCCATCGCTATTGTCTCTTGGCCTCTTCTATGAGCGAATCTCTTAAGGAATCACTCAAATCCTGTCTTGAGATATTCGACGCCGCGTGTATGTAATTGAGATGGGGAATGTAGCTGCGTCTATGTGAGTGAAAACTAGAGTAGTGCACGGGTGCAACATTTCGTATGCGTACCCTATTTGTACCCTTAGGTTGCAGTATTCTGGTGCCAAGAAGAACTGACTACGATACCTTCACTATTGTAACGTCTAGTAGAAGGTTAGACGTAAACGAAACAAGTATTGTATTTTGTTTGCTAAATGTTCAATTTTGTGTAAAATATGGCCTAGGTTTTATTTGTTTGTTTGCAAAGCTGGATGGTTTTCTTGTGTCAAGTTTCATTTAATTGAATTATAAAAACAGTGAAAGCCAAATCATTTTCTGTTCTTGCGTCATTTCTGAACTGATACCAGTAGAATCATCGATTGGTGTCACGAAAGAAGCATACAAATTCAAATGAAATTTTTTGTCGATAGCAATATTCAGTTTCAAGTAAAAGTAGAAAATCTTTTGAGAAAGAATATTTATTTGATTGTATATTGCGTCCTCCTAAATTATTTAATTATCTATTCGAAATGAGAAAAGAATCTTCTTAAAAGTCAACATTGGGTTGCACCATAGAGTCTTTTATGTTACTTTATTATGCAAACCCGAAAAGTACGGATAAATATTGGAAAACAAAAAATTTAATAAGAGTATCGCAGAAAAATGAATACACTTCGAATAATCATCATTAAAATTGATATGAAGATAAATTAATATTATACATGTTTTCCAAATATTCGATTTTTTCATCACAATAAAAATAAACAAGATAAAACATTGAAGCAATTAGATATCCAGTGGCAAACAGCATGAAGTCAATGTTAAAACGTGTTTCCCGTTTATAATAATAATAATAATAATAAACTTGCTGCTATTTATTTTTCAGTGATACGCTAAGCTATCTGGATTTATTTCTTCATATAAAAGAAAGTAAATAACAGTATTTGTAATGGCATTACCGTAGCTGAATGTAGCTTTGATGCTGCTTATAATTGTATGATCAATTGTTTTGTCAAGGTACCCCTCGAGCGTCTGTTATGTTCTTGTACTTATATTCTTCAGTCAGAAAACCCACGCAAGTGATAGTATAAAAGATAGGAATGATTAATCATGTTATACAATTCTTAAAAACTCAATCAATATTGACCTATTTTTCATTATAAAGATAGTAAAGTCACTTATATAACCAGAATACGTCTTAATATATTGCAATCAATCAATACATGAATACATTGATGAGTAAAAAAGAAAAATCAGTATCTTGTCAGTAATGGTAAATTCTGTAAGAAAAAACTTGATAATATTGATTGAATAATCAAACCGATTTCATGACGAACAATAACATTAAGTAGAAAAACATATGAAGTGAACATGTAAGTAAAAGTCACAAAAACAAAAATAAATTTTTACAAGAGAAAATAAACCTAATGGTAAGTAAATATTTGACATACTGTTTTGCAAGTGTGTCGAAAGAAAATGTACATAAAACAGAAAAGAGCAAGAACTTCAAATAGAAGTATTCAAACATTAATAAAATTCATTGTTATTGACGTTATGAAGTTTAAGTCTACCATTGTTTTATGATAGAAACATATGCAACGGTACATATAATATCCTTTATATTATAGTTCATAGTAATTATTCTGAAAATACTATTCGAAGTACAATTTTGAAAAAAGAAAGACCATTTCGTTATAAGATATAATCTTCCATTTGTTTAAATAATTTATATTAATCATTCATTGACATAGTTTTAATGTGTCAATGCTTTTGATATATGAGACATGTTAAATAGAATATTAGAATTCTCTGGATGTTGGAAAGATTATTTTTACAATATATTCGTAATGAATAAGAATAATTAACAATATGCACATGCATTCCAAGACGTTCCACCAATGAAATTCAATTGTTTTTATCAATAAAATAATAAGAGAGAAAACAGTAAAAAGCTTTTCGTTATTTCATATGAATGCGAAATAATATAAATCCTAATGATGCTAATTATTAATGCTTAAATCATTGATATTTGGAGAAAATAAATAGCCTAGTTAGGTCATGTTTGATGACGTTTTTAATGAAATAATCAGACACTAGAAAAAGACTGCATGTGCGTATATTCGAAGAGAAGAACAAAGATCATCTTGAGGTACTCTGTTTATCAAACCAAATTCTGTTATAAAATTCATTTTTCAACATTATTTTAACTTACAAAATTAGTATATAGTCCTTTTTATGATATCCTCCTGTCTCATAAATATCTTTAAATCTTTGTAATGTTTCTTAAAAATAAAAAAAATTTCACAACGTATAAAGAGTACAAAATAAATATAAAAGGATCGTATTATACTAAAACATAATTGCGTTTGTATATATATATAGACATCAATTGAACAGCTTTGCTGAGCTGCTTAGAAAGAAATCATACAGCAGAAAAATTGATGTGAATACCATAAATCATAATAGGAAAGGTTTTTTTTCCGTAAAATTGCATTTGATTAGTTATACAAAGAAGTCATCAGATTGTAACTGATGTTAGAGAGTGCATATTTACGCATAATGGAAATCAACTTTACTGAATTACATGTTAATTAAATTCAGTTCAAATAGATTTCACCATTAAATTCATATTCTAATCGTCAGTAAGTTCCAATAAACCAATAAAACAGGGTATTTCTGTACTTGTAACAGATATTACAACATGAAATACGGATTTGATAAGATTTAAGATATTTCTTCTGACACTGTCAAATATATTTTTTTCTTAAGAGACAACACCGTAAAATGAACTTTTTCATTACTTGTGTAACCTTAACTCACTTTATAGTCATGATATTAATTTTGATGCTACCGCATTCATTTCACTATTCATTTTGTTTAGAATTTTTATATTTCTATTGCCTTAATCTAACATAAGAAAGAGTTTTTGAAAATAATTGGACATAAAATAATCAAGAACAATTATCTTCTTTTCTTCATTTTATTTTTATTTTATTTTTACATTAACAAATGAATTTTATTGAAAAAAGAAAATATACCACAAGATGCAGCATAAAAAGCTCTGCAATCTACAATACAAAGTTTATTATATATATTTATGCACTTTTAGTTTTCAAAATAGACAAATTTCTGTATGACTAATTTGCAATGCTACGAACAAGATCGTCTTTTGGTACACAATGGATTCATACTCTTTTTTATTTGATAAAAGAGTCATATCAATGACCGATTTTGACTAATCGATATGTATTTTGATTGAACTCTTTCCGCCAAGTCACCTGTTATGCAAAAAAGAACTATGGTATATTTAGAAGCGTCTAATAACGGTCTTAAGACTGCAATTAGACAGATAACGTCACATCGTATGCACATCACGAAACATAGACATTATATGAAAAAAAATTTCATAAGCAATCACAGATGACCATCAAACAGTCTTGATCTCAATGTTGTCGATTATTGTATGGCACACTATCACCAATAATATGCAATGGAATAAAGCTGAGAACTCTGATTCATTAATTGATCAAATAAGAAAAAGAATTTTATGTGCACCAGAAAACTATTTTATTCGCAGCATACAAAACCCTAGCCACACAGAATTTTGTCTGTTTTGAAAACGAAAAGTTGATATACAAAAAAAACATTGTACTATAGATTGTAGAGATTTTAACGCTGCTTCTTTTGTGTATATTTTGTTTTTGAGTAAAACGTATTAGATGATGAGAAACTGGAATGAAAAAAGTACAACTACTCATTAAGGCTCACCATTAAATTAGCATTCTAGCATAAAATACGAAGTCATATAGAACTTAAATTAACTCGTCTATATATATATGCTAATAATATCTCATTATCACGAATGTATAATTTATTTTTTAATATTCCTTACATGAAAAATAAAGATTAATTTTAATTTAACATAAAGTTTACTCGAGTATAGATAAAATATATCATGACAATGATTGATTCATTGTATATTCTTCGAAGCATCTGTTAGGCATACATTCCTCGAGAAAAAAAAATCGATTGATACATTGATAAATATAGAACATTCTTGAATGTGCGATCATCATCGTTCTATTGAACAAAAAGAAAAAGAAAAGCACAAGTATGAAATCAGTCACAGTTTGAACAAAGTCTTTTTCTTTTTGATTCATTTCATATATGTAATCTTTTACACATGTGTGTTTCTACACAAAAGAAATGATGCTCAACTGATTTCCCTATATATGCAGACGAGCCCTAGAGATGAAGAAGGATTGCAATTAGATGCATATTCATGCAAGCGTGTTCGATAGATTGAGGGCAAGGCAAAATGTGTTTTCTTTTTTTCTTTTCTCATCATCGGACAGTATCTTTCTATATGCCAGAAAAAATAAATCATCATCTTCAACATTACATTGATGGTCATCGTAATAGGAAGAGAACGAAGGAAATAGCATCCCATATCACATAGATATCTCATACATATATATATCCGTATAGTTCAGATAGTGGTCATATTGACCTTTTTTTCCTATTATTTGAAAGATGATGCTGCTAACCATGATAACTGCTACTCTGTTGGCAACTATAAGAATTGGTTATTCAGGTAAATTATTATTTGAAAAATATGTTTTTTAAGTATTAATACAGATGTTATTAAAACAACTTTACCTGTATCGATTATTTTGGATGGCTTTACATTACAAACAGTAAGATTTGAGTTTTCTTTTCTTTTGTAAGAATTATTTCTTTCGAATAGTGGATGGAACAATCATTATGGAATAGAACTCGAACGTTCATTGTTCATCATTTAAATGAGTTTTGTAAAAAAGATTACCATTGCGATGCCGAGTAAGTTAATTCTTTTTTTTGTTCTGTTTGCAATCTATATTTATTTCAAACAATATAAAAAAGATATGGAATCGGTAATGTTCATTTAATTAACGTTGTTCCATATGGTTCATCATCAATTCGTTTAAATGTTACGGCTGATGAACCTGTTTTACCTGTCAATATGAAAACCGGCAAGGTGCCATTATTATATAATTATACAGCACTTTTGACAGGTTTTCATCAATAAAAATTTTTTTTTCATATATTGATTATCTTGATTAGGTGCACTTTTTCAAGCTAAAATTGACATTGAACGTTTATATGATGATCAATCATTATTTTTATCGACTGATTTCAATCAACATTTAATTGTTAATCGAACAAGTCGATTATTATTTGTTCTACTGGGAATTATTCTTGTTGGTATTATATTTGGTTTGACTGTTTGTTTCTTTCAACGAATGTATGTACGCATTGTAGAATAAATTTTTAGTTGATTTTATATTTTAATTTAGTCGTCGTCATAATTATTCAAAATTACTTAAAAATGCACGAATATGTCAACCAATGCAAGACGAACCATTAACCAATACACCATCAACGTCTGTCTTGCATCAATAAAAGAAAACTTTTTTTTTGTATATAAATATATATATATATATATTATCGCCATACAATAAAAACGACATTTTGATAAAAAGATTAATCATAAACACGCAAACTAAATATGTTGATTTATTATTTTCACGAATAATCTTATGAGTTTTTGTTTTATTTGAATATATTCATGCACGTTTTTGAATAAAATGATCTTGTCAGCAACAGTAAATAGTCTTTTAATAAGTTTATACACATGTATTGAAGAAGACAAATGATTTGTTCTTGTATAGTATTTGCATTTAAAAAAGTAAAGTTTGGTCAGAGTTATTAGTTCGGAAATATTTAATACTGTTCATTAAAAAAGTCAGTGGAGTAGTCAAAACTGAAAAACTCGTATTCTTTGTGTTTCTTTCTAAGTTTATCTATAATTCATATTAATTTCGAGCGAAAATGTTGCATGATGTGTGATTCACTTTCGACAAAAGACCTTAAAAGATACTATATCACAATGATGCCTTGAACGTTACACAGAAACATCATGAATTAGGAATAGACCTGTTCCATTTCTGACTAGGTACACAATTAATGGTCTTGTACTAATCTCTATTGATCTTTGTTCAATGAATGGTAAATTAGTACCCAAGTAACTAAAAGTGATGCGTATCTATAATAAATCAAATTTACGATCGTTTGATTTGCTTCTATTCTGAAATAAGAACATCCAATCTGATAATTGATATGTGTAGTGTAAAAGATACGCTATTATCATAGTTTTATCTCAGCATAGAAGCAGCGACAAAATCTGAAACATTCACAAAAAACTATTCTAGTTAAGACACGTCTCTATTCAAAACTTCAAGTCGAAGTTTTAAAATCAGTTTTTCTGGTATTCTTGAAGAAGACTACGACATTTATTTAGAAAGTACCATTAAAACGCAATATCACTGTAGCAGGAAGTTAAGGACACAAACTTTTTTCTTTCCTAATATTACATGTTGCAGATTGTATGACCTGTCGTAGATGACTTCGAAACATTGCTTGCGTCATAGAATTATTCGGTTTTTATTGAAAGTTCGACATTATACGAATCATTTTATTCTTGTTGAATAAAGTTCATCAAACTAGAAATCTTTTAATAATGTAAATTTGACTGAATAAAAATCAGCTAAACGTATAAATAGCTTTTCAGTTAAATGCAATATACATATTATTTAACTTCAATCGAGACTTTTCTATTGATCATCTTACATCTAGGTTTATCTTAGGTTTTTATTTTAAAACCTTAAACTAGTTTTCACTCTTTTGAGTGTTTCATTCTCTTCAGCTATACATGTTTCAAATGATTGAAAATGAAAATGGTTCATTTTTATTGATATTTATGAATCTCAATAGTTTTAATTGGAACCGAGCTTATAGCAGAATATAAAGCTACATCGTGTTATTAATTTTACATAACTTTTTTTCTATATAAATCGCACTGAAAGTGACAACAATGAATACCTTAAATTTCTTGTTTGCTTGTTAATTATTTTGTGGAAGTACACCAATAAATCTTCAATACTTATCTTCCCATCTCACTAAGAAGCTAGTAATCATATCGACGAATGTCGATCTTGTTCTTATATTATATGCTTGGATGTTTATCACAATAATCTCAGATATTTGTGATGAATTTATCAAACAATCTGTTGAACAATATCTTTAATAGGAAGTTTCTATTTTCATTTTGATTTTTTTTAGTATCGAACTCAATCTATTATTGTTGTTTCAAGTGGTGATTAGGCAGATTCGTCGTTGAAAATCTGGTGTGTATTCATAGAAGTTAATATAGGCTTTCTCATTCAAATCTTAGCCATTATTCTTGTTGGTACACAAGGCATTTATAACGTCCCTTATGTAAGATGATTATCTTTATCTGTGGATTATATATAATGATATCATTGTTCTTTGTCGTACCATTATCATCGCTTCGAAACTGTATTAACAACAAATTGATTAGTGATGTAACCAGAAAATGAATTGTAGAGAAGGCTCAGCCTCGTCTGGTTACATCGCTAAGCCTGAGAACCAATCTGTAAATCACACTCTTCAGGTTCTCAACTCAATCTCAGAAATCATAAAATAAGCTTCATAGTTTAATTATCAGAATCTATTAACTAAAAGCTATTTTATAATTAGAAAATATGATATACAATTTTGTAAACTACTATTTTTCGTTTCATAGCACTTCGTTGATTTTATTCTTTAACAGTATAAATGAAACGAATTCTTCGCCAAAGTTTTTGATCAAGATTTTCAAGTAGGTGTTAACAACACATAAATCCTTTACTTATTTCTTTTTTACATGTTTCGATATTCAAAATAGATTCATTTCTATGTTTGTTCTTTGTTAGTATAATGTCATCATCAATGACAAAATATAAAACGAAAGAGATTAACACGATATAAAGAAGGAAAGTAAACAACTATAATTAGACCGAGTTTATCAAATGGATTACACACGTGTACAAAAAAAAAAGTGTTCGAAAAAAGACACAAGAAGCTTATTTTATATTCGTTCATATTACACAAAAAAAAGGGAGAAAGGATATATGAGTAAGAAGATATCACACTTAAATAAAACACAAAACTCTTCACCGGATCATGGATCCTTCTTAACGTTAAGAATAATTAATGCATACATTCAATCTCAAGTATCTCATTATCATTTGCCTTTTTTGTCTTCGTCCAGAGTTGTTTGAATCGTTAGATATTCATCAAGCATACGTTTTCGAGTCATTTCAGTTAATCGTTGAAGATCATGTTCAACTGTCATACCTGTTGTACCGATTGGCTCAAGACATTTGATAGTTATACAACCGGGACGCCAATAATAACTATTATTCGATTTGTCTGCATTATATATTGACTTGTAAGGTGAAAAAACAATCGGCACAATTGGTACTTGTGCTTGAATAGCCAAACGAAAAGCACCAAATTTAAATGGAAGAAATGTTTCATCCATATTTCGGGTTCCTTATTTTATAAAAGAAAAAAATATAATCAACTTGACTACGAATAAATTTTCTATATATACCTTCAGGAAAAACCCATAAGCGAAGCGATTTATTTTGAATTTTTTTCATTATATGAGACATTGTTTCACTTGCTCGTTGACGATTGTTTCTATCAATAAATTCAACACCAGCTAACCATGATGATATACCGAATGGTCCAAGCCAAAGTAATTCTTTTTTTGCTAAAATTGTACAATAACGAATATGTTTCGGCCAAAGATACATCATGCCAATAAAATCTATAGATGATTGATGATTTGCAACAATAATACAAGGTTTATCTTCATCTAATACTTGAGCATTTTCAACACGATATTTTAAACCTAATAAACAAAATATTGGATTCAATAATATAGATGCTAGACGTATGTTTAATGGGTTGCGTGGTCGTAGAAAAAATATGGGTGGTAATATAATAGCGAATAACATAACTATAGTAACATAAAAGGCATATTTAAGTTTACATAATTGTCGTTCATTGAGAACATGTTGAATAAGTATATAGATGATTATAATCATTAAAATCACACCAATTATGAATAGACTAAAGATTGACATTGTGTTTTCTTTATCTAAAATAATTAAAGATCTTTTTATTTATTTATTGTTTATTATTATACTAATTGACTATACCCAATTAAATATTCCAATAGCAATAACTACAAATAAGGAACGTGTTTATGTGTAACAAAGAATAGATGACAATGTTTTATATATTAAACTAAAACAATAGATTTAGTCATGCATATAACAAAAAAAAGATCTTTTTCTCTATAAAGTAGGATGGAAATGAGAATTATGTTCAGATGCAATCATAGTATGACATTGAGGAAAACGTTGTCGCCAATCATCAGACACAAAACAAACAGACCACATTCCAACAGGCACCAACGTAAGAAATAATCCACATGAAACAATAACAAACGATAAGCGATAATTAAAATGTATTAAACGATTTAATAATATTAAAAACAGCCAACCACTAGCTAAAGCTAATCCACTTAATTCTCGTCCTTCTTCATGATGTAAAAAATGATTTTTCATATTATTGGTATTATTTTCATATTGATATTTAAAAAGAAAATGACAACCGAATGCAAGAAGTATGCAAAAAACAAATGCATTCATATAAATAATAACAATCGATAATGATCGATAATTAAACAATTCAATAGCAAGAAAAATAGATGTACACATATAAATTGTTACCCATAAATACCAATCATGATCATTTAAATTAACAAAAGCAGCAAAAAGAAAAAATAAACATCCAATCCCATTTATAATACGCCAAATAAGTTTACTTGGTGATTGTTTAGAATCATTATTGTTGTCAAACATCTTCAATACAGAAAAATAATACAAAGATTTGTTTTTTCTTTCTTTCTTATCAATAATAAATTTTTTTCATTTGAATAAATCTAACAAGAACAAAAAAACACAGATTAACCAAAAAAAAGGAAAAATAGACCAAATTTTTACAGAGATAGACAAGCAATAGGACTAGAGATTACGTTTTAGAACAAAAAAAAGAAATGTATACAATCTTGTTACTATTTCGTAAGATCGATAGAAAGAACAAAAAAAGGCGAGAGACAGAGCAAGCAAAATAAGTTTTATTCATCTTATTATTTTTTATTGGTTGATAAGCAATATAAGAGAACAACGTATTGATTGGTGAACATGTCACAGTGTATTATGGCTAACAATGAAAAAGGAAAAAGAGAAACAAGCAAAATTGAAATTGAATCTAGATTATACTGGAATAATGACGATGCAGATTAGAACCAACTGATTTTGTTTGTTGTTTTATTGCAAGTGAACCACCACGTGCTGGTGATGTAAATGATTGATTCATATTTGTTGTTGATGTTGTTATTGAATATGCTGGTGTATTTGATGTATTAATTAATAACTTTCTTGAATTATCATTTGGTGTTGATGCATATTGATGATGTTGTGGAACAACTGTAGATTGTGTTGGAGATACAAATAATGGTTGATATTGAATACTCGTATTATTTGTATCATTAAGACTTGTTGGTAATGTTTGAAGATCGGATGAATTGGTTAAAAGATAATGGCTAAGTAATTTTTTATTTAACATTAAATTCTTAAGACGTTCACGTTTTAAACTATGTCTAAATGATAAATAAGGTAATGATATTTTTGTAATAATCAATAAAACATACCGAAGTGATTCACGACTAGTGGGTAATGATGGACTGGCAATAGGATTAAGTAAAAGCTAAAAAGAAATATAACCATTAGAAAGTCTTAATCTATTAAGAACATGTTAACTAAAATGAAATATACTAGTAAGAAGCGACAAACTGTGGGATCAAGTAGTAGTTCTCAATTCTAATAGTAATAATGTATAATATAAAATCTTTCTAAAGTAGTATGTATAGAAATACACAAAGGATTTTTAAAAATCGGCGAATATATCTTCAAATACATCGGATTTCAAACAAGAGTCCTTATTGCACTCATTTTTGTATTTCATAAGATGATTCTTAGTAAAGAAAAAATGATTTATCAAATAGGCAGAGACTCGTACTCATACAAAATTTTACAACTAAAATCAATTAAAATATTATTTAAGATCAGACAGGCATCGCTTAGAAATAACCATTGGTGCCATCTTACGAGGGAACATATCCAACTGTCGGCGGCGATATTTTAACTGTGAGTATGATTTACGCTGGTACCTCTTCAGCTGCCCTCTTTCGATTTCAATGGTATTTTTTTTATCTATAGGATACTACATAGTATTTTTTTTTAAATACCGTAAAAAAGATTTCGATTTCTATTGTGATTGGACTAAACTGTCGAATTTTCATTTGAAAACTTGCCCATATAGAGAACTCAATATAAAACAATTCAGACGGTTTGAACAAAGTCTCTTCAATAGATTGACTCTTTCTATGGATATTGTATACAACATGCATTTCTTGAAAACTTTATATCTCAAAGAGACTTGTGAGTTTTTTTGAAGAAGTCAGTCTAGTTGAGTTCTCCGTGCACAAAGTTTCAAATCAAATTTCGATAGTTTAGTCAGAGTTATGATCATCAATTTTGTCCATAGGCACATTTCATGACCATTAGAATAATCTAAAAACTTTAGCTCAAACGAATTTCGTTTTCTTTAAATATCGACTATCTACGATAGTTGGATTTTATGATTTGCCTAGCTACATGTAGTTGAAACAATCAGACGTATTTCCTCATATATGTAATTCATCGATTTTGAAAACTTACATCATAAGCTGATGGTCGTTGATTCGGATCGATATTACACATACGTCCAAGTATAAGTTCATTAAATTGATTTGTACAATGTGAAATTGAATGAAGATAATGATTAATATTTAATCTTAATTGTTGCCATTCATTACCTTGGCTAGGCATTTCACGATTTGTTGCACAAACATATAATGTTAAACCTAATGAAAAAATATCACATTTACCTAAATTAACTTGTTTGCTATTTGATTTTTGTAAAGCTTCTAATGCTAAATAACGACTATCACCATCTTCTTCAATAGATGATAAACTTATTTGACTAACATGTCCTAAATCAGTTAATTTATATATTATATTATTTACATTTACACCATTATCATCATCATCATCATTATTTTTATTTAAATCAATATTTATTGAACGTTGACATAACATAATATTAGCTGGTTTTATATCTAGATGTGCTAAATCTTGTGCATGCATAAATGCTAAAGCATCACTTATTTGATGAAGAATTTGTTTTAATTGTTGTTCATTTGTAAACATATGATTACGTCGATTTTTTTCTAATATATCACCTAATGAACCACCATTACAATATTCTAATTGAACAAAAAATCTTCCATCAGGTTCGATCCATGCTGAATGATATCGAACTAAATTTTCATGTGATATAAGTATAGCATGTGCACATGTTTCCCGCCATGCCATTTGTTCATAACTTGTACCAAGTACTGGCTGCTTCGATGCTTTAACAGCATATGTTATACCATCGAGACGATTTTTACATAAATAAACATGTGAAAATTCACCTTGACCAAGTAAAAATTCTTGATGAAATTCTTCATCAAATCGTCGAATTGTTAATTCACGTAATAATGGTGAACTAGCTGGAACATTATGTAATGATTGTCGACGTTCTGATGGTATATGAACAATTGTTTGTTGATCACGTTTAGCAACAAGACGTGTACGATAACGTGGTGTTGTTGTTGCTGTTTTCGTATTTGTTGATACTGATGGTGAATCGAATTTAGCACGTTTAGCTTGTGAAATATCTAACTGTGGACTAAATGGATTCGTATTAACTAAATCACCTAATAAAAACAAAAAAATTTTGAATATAAATAGCTGATGAAAATTCTACCTTTTGATTTTGATATTGATTGTTCATGAGAATTTGAACTATTTGATGTTGTTGTTAAACTAATTGAATCATCATGATGACGACTACGACGTTGAACTTTTGGTGAACGAAATGTACTTTCTTGTACATAATCAAGATTTTTTCGTCGTGTACTTGGTGATTGATCCGGTGTTTTAAGTGATATACCATCAATAGATATGTCTGATCGCATTTTTGTTTCACGATTTCTTGTTGTACTTCGCTTACGTTTATTATTAGTAGTAATATTATGACTTGTTGTATTTTTTGTTGCATATTTAACTGTATAACTTGTTGTTGGTTTTATAGCAACAGTACCAGATGATGGTGTAAAACGAAGATGGCAAGGTGATTTAAATTCATTTGATTTTATTATATGGGAAGATAAAGGTGATGATTGATAAGAAATTTCGGATGGTGTTTGAGATAATGTTGTTAAACGTGATAAAGCTGATTCAATATTAATTGAATCATTAAGAATAAAATCTTGTTGTGATGATTGCTGACTATAATTACGTGAATCATCTTGTAATGGTTGACTACAACTACCACATGTTGAATCATCAAAAAGTACTGATGATGGTGGTAAAACTTGACTACAACTACTATTTATAGTTAATTTAGGTGAAAATGATAGACGAGTACGACGATTGAATTGTGATGCTAAGTAACTACTGTCTGTTGATTGTTGACTGGCTACATCCGATTCATCCGAGTCAAAAACAGGCGGAGGAATAGGACTTGCAAACGATGACATCGTTATATGTTCTAAAAAACAAATAAATGAATACCAATACGCTATTAACAATGAATGAACATTTCTTCGACGGACGGATAGCCGTCCATAGAGAGACAAAGAGGTGCTAATCAATTAACCAATAATAACAGATCCTGTAATGAAGCGCCATCTGTACGTAATGAATAAAACAGGTGAGTTTTTATTTCGTTTGATGAAAAAAACGGAATATATTCACAGACTTTCTACAGAAACAAAACAGTATCTGTTACTGATTGTAAACTGAGTAATGATCTGAATTTATTTCTAGTCATCTTCAATTAAATTACATTCGTTATTATATTTTACAATTCATAATCAATTAACACGTTATATACTTCTTCTTTTTACGTATATAAAAATATTAAATAATGTTTACTATCAAAAAAAAAATAAAATAAAATAAAAAAAGAGATAAGTATCTTTGTTTACAACTTGATCTCTTCAATGTGCTACTCTATTCTTTTTCTTTTTGTTCGCTATCACTACCCTATCTTGTTTTACTCTGCTGTTACATCTTTTCGTTTGCTTTATTCATGTATGTATATATAAATATTATCTGTTCTTCATTTTCTTCTTCGACTTTAGTCAAAAAGTGGCAACATAAGATACGAAAAAACAACATAACATTATGTATTCATCTAACAATAATGACGAACAAGGTAATGATGCATTAAATGCAATTCAATCACAAATTAATCAAACAACAAATGCATCAGTGGAAGCTACACGTCGTATGGTTGGTTTAGTTGCCGAATCTCAAGAAATCGGTACTAATACAATGATTATGCTTGATGAACAAGGTGAAAAACTTGATCGAATCGACGTAAGAATTTCTTTTTTCAATGTTTTCTTCATTTTAATAACATTTTTAAATATAAATTAGAGTGGTCTTGATAATATTCATGCTGGAATGACTGAAGCTGAGAGAAATTTAACTAATTTACAAAAATGTTGTGGTTTATTTGTTCTACCATGGCAACGCGCTCGTGCAACATATAAACCATATACAAATAGTAGTACAGGATTTAGTAGTGAAACATCATCACCTACAACAGCAGAACCTAAATTACGTATGGCTGGTGATGAAGGTATGCCTACTGGTGGTTATGTAACTCGTATTACCAATGATGATCGTGAAACAGAAATGGATGATAATTTACAATTAGTTAGTGGTTATCTTGGTAATCTTAAAAATATGGCACTTGATATGGGTGATACAATACAAAATCAAAATAAAAAAATTGATCGTATTGCAGAAAAATCTGAAGCTGGAATACAACGTGTAGATGTTGCCAATCAACGAACAAAATATCTGATTCGAAATGCTTAATTGTATTCCTAGAATGTTCTATATTATTTTCTTTTGTGTTAATGTGCGTGCCTAAGTGTATTTATGTGTTGTTGCCTGAATATGAAAAGAAAAATGAAAATTATTCATCGAATAAAATTGAGTATGAAGACAAAAAAAAAAGTCTATTGATAAAGCACCTGTAAAATCAATACAAAACTATTTGAGCTCTAGTAATCACTGGAAAAATAATCAATTTTTTTGCTGTTATCAGTATGACAAGGCATAACTGATACCAGTTCACATGACGTATTTTTTTGTATGTTAATGTGTGTATAAATACATACGATTGACATGTATTCAAAGCATTACTTTAGCGACGTATATCATTAACAAGGTAATACTGCACATAACATACATACAGTAAATATATAAATACTCGCAATTCATAATTGCATTTTTCGATATAAGAAAATGAGTGGTGATTTAACTTATGTAGAAGATCAAATGGTAACGGATGAATTTATTGATAATTTAAAATCATTATCTGTGTCACAATCACCAAGTACTTATGCTGATGCTATTAAAGAATTAGATATACAATTGAAACGTTCAATACCAAATGGTTTAAGCAACAATAAACCATTTTCTTTTAAAATTATCGATAATTTTTATCGAATAGTTCCATTATTTGATAATATTTTATCAAATAATGATAGAGATGGTTATAATAATTTTGTTCAAACAAAAAATTTCCTGCAAACATTAGCAAAAGCTTTGGATGGCGTATGTCTTTTTGAAATATATACTATACTTAAAGATGTATTACCAGTTCAACTTATTTTTCAAAATTATATTGTTCTACTTAAAGAAACTTATTTTACTGACAATGATAAATATGATGATCTTGTTAATTGTTTATTACCAATTATTACTTATTCAAGTATATTAACACCAGTAACTGAAGATAAACTTCCAGCAAATCTTCTTACATATTTATTAACATTTACTAAACGTCATTGGTTATTTCAACATCGAGAAATGATTGTTAGAAATATTCTCAGTTTAATAAAAGCTTTTTCGAAAAATCCTCTACTTATACCAATGATTATTCGTACTGAATGGCCTCATTCCTGTGTTCAATGGTTAGTTAATAGTGATGAAAAAAATAATTTAAGACCATCTTATATGGTTGATTATTATATATGTCTTATTATTCAAAAACTTGCTAGACATTCAATTGGTATTCAAATTCTTAATCAATTAAATTGTCTAAAACGATTTGATGAATGTAGAGATGTGATGAAGAAATATCATACAGAAGCTCAATACAAGTGTTTATATGTTCTACAATGTATGATCTATGCACTTTTAATGGAAGAAGATGAAATAAAACAAATATCATTATTAAATGATAATCGAATGTGTCATGTAATTAATGAACTTGTTTTATATACAATCGAAGCATCACGTCATGATTATTTCTTTTATAAATGTTTTCATATATCAGAAATGCTAAGTGTACTTAGTAAATTATTTGTTAATGATGATATTCTTTTAAAATTTGTTAATGAAGATAATAAATTATTTGATTGTTTATGTCAATTAATGATTCATTTTTCTAATATAATTTTTGATACAAGTCGAACTCATCAACCAACTGATGACGAAACCCTACTTTCAGTAACAAATCTTTTTTGGAGTTTATCATTTCATCCATGTTATCATGAAAAATTTCAATCGAATCCAATATTTATGAATATATTATCAAATTTAGCTACATCATCATATAAATGTACACAATTAAATTTAATTCCACGTGATATGTGTTCATTAAAAAAAGCAGCTGAAGGAATTTTATGGAACTTAAAACCATCATCACCACCATCAACATCAAATCAAATATCAAATGAAAAAACTGAACGACAACCACTGGTTATGATTAGTTATTCACATAGTGATACAATATTTTGTCAAGAACTTGTTGAACATTTATCTGTTTATCTTCCTATTTGGGTTGATTATAAACAAGCAAAAGATACAGTTGCTCATTCAGATGATCTTTGGGAAGAAATTGCTCGTGCTATGGAAACGGCTTCTGTCATTATTTTAATTGTTTCAAAAGATTATTATGATTCTAAATCATGTCGACAAGAACTTTCATATGCAAGTGATACACTTAAAAAACGTGTTATACCTATTTATGCTCCTAATCAAAATTATCGAGCTAGTGGTTGGCTTGGTATTCGAATAGCTGGACAAAAATATATTCATTTCGGACGAAAATCATTTAAAGATGCTATTGAAGAACTTTCATCTACAATTCTTCCTAATCAGAAGCCTATCAATGTACCATCAGCAGGACCAGCTACATTTTCATCATGTGAAGTAGTTCCAAAAAAAATGACCGATGAAGAAAATAAATTATTATTAACATTAAAAGATTGGACAAAAATAGATATTCGAAAATGGTTTGATGATAATCATATACATAATAATTTAATAACACTTTATATTGATGAATTTCATACTGGGACAGCTCTTATTGTTTATGCACGTCATTTAAAATTATTTTATCGTAATGAATATATTCGAATATTTAAAAAATATTCTAAAATATTTCAAGGAAAAAAGCTTGATACACTTGATTTTATTACATTTGTTGATGCTCTTTATCGTTTACGTACTGAATATGATCCAAATGCTATAATAGAAGATAGTTATGAACAACCAAGTGAACAACAATTATCATATGCAGTAAAAACTTCAGAAGCAGCAGCGACTTGACTAGAAAACAGACAGTTTTTATTTTCATTGTTACTTTATAATAGATATTTAATCAAAAATAAACAAGAAAATTGCTTTTTTTTTTTATTAATATTTATAATTCTTTCAATATGAAAAGTTCCTCGATTTGGACTGTTTCATTGAACTTACAATTGCAAAAAAAAAGATTTCTCTTGCGATTCACTTCAATATCAACGAAATTACATTACGAGGCGAAGAAAAGTGTAATAACTAAAAGACAAATATTTGAATAAATTTCGTATGTGATATATTATATATTTATATCTTCTATACCAATCAACTAAATGCACATTATTCGGTCATTTATCTAAAGTCAATATTTAAACTCATATTGATGATTGACGTCAAATTTAATGACACATTAATAAATCAAAGTCAATTATTCATTCAATCTTAAACACTCCTGTATTAACTGTTTATTTTTTTTGTTTTCAACAAGAAAAAAAACTTACATAAAAATCATCAGAACAAAGATAACAAGTTGAATATTTTCGTGTTTTTTTTTTCGTTCACGCACAGAATTATAACTCTACAATTTCTCAAGAAAATAAACAAACAAATGACAAAATGACATCGATTGATAGCACATGACGCTGCAATTCGATCGATAGACAGTTCATAATAACAGAAATTTCACATATATATATACATACAATGGTACAATACCTCATTTTTCTACATAAAAACAAAGAAAAGAGAAACACACTGCATAAAAACGGGAATAAAAAACAAAAAAATTCAATGAACACGTGAACCTTCTTTTATCTAACGTGTCATACTATTTGTTCTTTTCTTGTTACTGGTTGATGATCAACCAGTGGCTTTGATCCATGTTTATTCACCCAACATTGTTTGCAATATGATCGAAGACAAT